ACGCTCGGGGCCGTGCTCCCCTCAGGAACCTCCTTTTCTCCCTGGGTCACTTCCAGGAGAGGAAAGTGCTCTGGGATTCTTCGAAGCTCCGTCCTTGTCCCAGCTCTCCTGCCAGTCCCTGCCTGCTGGGAGCTGCCAGGATGCCCCGGGGTGACCCCTGAACCTTCCTCTCCGTTTTTGCCCTTGGCAGGACTGGTGACCTCGCTGTCAGAGAGCTGGTACAACCTCCTCCTAGACATGCAGAACAGGCTGAATAAAGTCATCAAGAGCGTGGGCAAGATCGAGCACTCCTTATATCCTTTCGTGCTTCACCAGGAGCCTGTGGCCAGGCGCGGGGCGGGGTGCTGGGCCACTGGTGGGAGCGTACGTCGGCTGGAGAGGGTGGGAGCACGTCTGGTGGTGGAGAGGGGTCTGTCTTGGGGGGTTTGAGGAGGAATCTGGCTTTGGGGTAGCCCTGAAAACGCGGCTGCTGCGTTTGCCCCTGGTCCGGGCGTGCTTCACCAGGAGCCTGGGGCCAGGCGCGGGGCAGGGTGCTGGGCCACTGGTGGGAGCGTACGTCGGCTGGAGAGGGTGGGAGCACGTCTGGTGGTGGAGAGGGGTCTGTCTTGGGGGGTTTGAGGAGGAATCTGGCTTTGGGGTAGCCCTGAAAACGCGGCTGCTGCGTTTGCCCCTGGTCCGGGGCTGGTGTTACTCCGTATGGATCCGGCTCCTTGACGGTGGTGGCACCTGGAGATCGTTTCACACCGAGCGCAAGACGGAGCCGGCTACGGGGTTCATTGACGGGGACCTGATCGAAAGCTTCCTGGACATCAGCAGGCCCAAGATGCAGGAGGTGGTGGCAAACTTGCAGGTGAGACGGGTGACGCCAGCTTAGGCCCTTCAGAATCCGCGGGAGGGACCCTGCTCCGGGCGATCCGGGCCCCGGTAACTCCCTAAATCCCAAACGTGCGCCTTCGCCGAGCCGCGAGCGCTCTTCTGCCGCCGTCCCCGTGCTCTGACGACGCCTT